ACAAGTGGGCGTCATAAGAAGGATGTGGAAAGAAATCACAGAGCCGGAACAGTAATAAAGCTTTGGGTGACAGTCTATCGTAATAGTGCGGCCAAGGGCCGTCTGGCTCTCAAAAAGAGTGGATACCGAGGCTCAAATACTGATAGCAGGTGGACTGGTGGAGGACAAAAAAGATCTCCTAAATGCTCTAGGAGCTGCTGTCAGACCGAAGAAAGGTAGGGATGTGCTTGGACGTAAATTGGTCGTATTATAATGATATCAGCTCATTTCCAAGGGAAATATCATATGACTCTCACTAATCTGGATTGAAAGTGTTAGGACTGTATCGCGAAGAAAGTCACGAATTCGGCCTCTGTAACAGTACCATAACATATCCTCCATTCCAATCTCATTTCCTGCGTGGAGAATGGTGGATATTTCTCCAATAATAACTTGCGCTGAGATTGAACATTTATTTAAGACACCATTTCTGAGTATCTAATATGACTGGAAAGAGGAGAGTATCTTGAATCATTGAGCATAAACTTTCACGGCTTGATCAGCCACGGCCACAATGAATCGGTTGACCCATGAGACGGATTTGGTAAGAAAAATCCGCCTTCAATAAAACCCAGATGACCGCCATGCTTGGTCATGATGAAGGCCATATCTTCAGTAGTAGAAGCAAATTCCTGAAGAAAAGAATTGGATTAGAAGAGCAGAATCAATCTGCTCCATACTGAATCAAAACCGATCATCTCACTATTGGCGGATCAGCTTTGAGAGAGATTTGCTGTCGGCCAGGAATGCCAATAGATGAGTTCCCTCGAGGGTCTTAGAAGGGGATCACTTAGTTGACAGAGCAGAAGCACAGAAGACATAGCAACAGTGGGACCATCGCTCCAAGCATATGAATACGCATATGCAGTAATTCGCGGCTCAGTGACAGTGATGCAGATTAGGCCTGAAGTATCAGACCGTTCAAGTTTTTTTTGTGTGGGTGTTTTTGAAAGTCAACTACGCGACAGGAACGAGTAGTACGATAGGTGCCTGATTTAGCCGTAGGATCTGGCGTCACACGTATTTTTCACCCGCTCAGTGTGCTATCGTAAGATGCGAGCGATAGCGGTGTACCAGCCGAAACTACGAAGTGGAATGGAACTGCCGAAAAACTCTAACTAGCGCTTCAGCACTCCAATTTCCAGCCCCTCTAATTCTATAACGATAATTCAACCCCCTTGCCCGAAAGTTCTTGTCGGCAGAGGAGGCGAGTGTCTGGGGAGGCCGTCAACTAGTTTTATTATAGTACGGAGCGGAACTGAAACATGATGTTTCACCTTCACTGGTTCCCACAGACATTTCGGGATTATAGGGTCGTCTTTGGCGAACAGGAAAATCATTGGCATTCGAATTTTGTGGAGATGTGGCAACGATTCGCAGGCAGTGTAGTATTCGTCGCGGTTTCGGAATCCAGCCGCTCCGACAAGTATAGACTTCGTCCATGGTTGCAATTGAGTTAGTTGACCAGAGACGCTGAAACTGAGGAGAGATTGTCATCGATACCTAAGCGAAAACGCAAAAGGTGGTTGCCGACTCATCGGCCTGACGTGGGTCTGTCAATGTTTTCACCTTTACTGCTTCAAAGCTGGCATATCCTCAGTTCACCTACCTTCTCATCAATCGAACCACTGGCGACGTGTGGTGCAACCACCTGTTCATAATGACGTCGTAGAAGGCGTTTCACTTTGACGGTCAAAAAAAAGTTGTAAATGCAACGCCATTTTCCCACTCATCATACAGGTGCCCGCAGCTGATATGGGAACAGCCCTGGCATATATTCAAGCCGAGAAGTATACGGCATCTGAAACTACAGGATAACAATGATGCAAGCAAAGTACCACCTTAACGTATCTTTCTGGCTCACAAAGGAAGGTCAATGGGTCAGTCAGGCCACTTGAAATGAAATTATACCACCGCACGCGCTTCCCTCAGTGACGTTGAGAAAGATTTTTCCCCCCCCAACAAGGTATCCTTCCCATGGCTTCTATCCCCCACGGGAAAAGTTGGGAAAGCCGTAGAATCGGATATGATCGAGCGTTCACGTTTTTTTTTGGTTTCCAAGAGGTAGCTTTATTGGTGTATACCCGGAGATAGCAGTTTTAACCTCGGACGCAGCTGTGCTTTTGGTTTCCATGGTTCTCTGAAGTGAATCTGGGAGGCACTTTAGTGTTGCCAAAATCATAGGCCTGGTTATAGCATCAGTGAAACGTTGGTTGCAGGTAGTGATATAGGGGCAGAGCTCGAGCATCAGTGGTGAGTGGCGGAAAGTGATAGCAGCTGACTAGGGCTGATAAGGCGCATAAGAAAATGCGGATCACCGAATTTGCCGCGGGGGTTACAGCAGCAGTGAGGGCGTTGGTTCCGAGATAGTGTAAACTAAGGGACAGCAGCATCATTGATGGGTGGCAGGATGTGTTAGGAACTGTTAGTATCTGATAAGGGGAAGTAGAACTCGAGCCTCGCTTGAACCATAGCGTCCCTCAGTAATAGTAGGAAGTTCGTTCTAGTAGGTGGTGTAGGAGATGTGACGGGAACGTTACTGTTGGGTGACTGAGAGGGATGACAACTTATAGAGGCTGACAAGGGGCGTTGCTGTCTTCATTGTTCTTCAAAGCTCTATACCTTTCACGCTAACAAATCATGAGGTGATATCACATGGATATAATTGACGAGCGATAAGATTTTATCATTTATTGAGGATAGAAAAGTTATTTTCATTTCATTCCTTTATAATTCCCCAAGCTTAGTTCAGCTAACTTTGCCCTTTATCGTAAGATTTTCTAGTGTCAAAAGGAAGTGAATTCTCCATTTAAAGGTTGAGAATCAAATGTGCTCCTATTGTGAGTTGAACATTTATGTTGCAGCATTCTGAAAGTCCAGACTTCTTATTCTTATTCTCAAGTTTTCATTTTTTACATAAATAGAAATTGGCATTAACCGTCATTCAGTGCAGTAGATCGCCTGGCATTGCTTTATCACGTCAGGCCGCAGTAATGCGCGCCAGGCAGACTGGTTGAACGTATGAATCTCGGTATCAGCGGGACACCTTAGTATAGGTTCTAGCGAAATCGAAACGTCTCTACAATACTCGGTTCTCATTTGTAGTGGTGGACATCGTGTAGCATGAGTGCGAAGTTCTCTGTTCCCTCTGCCGTTGGAAACGATAACTTATTTTGATAACTTTGTAAAAAAAGACGTCTTATGGAAAATAATTAACTTTCACATTTTGTTGATTCCCCGTGCAACGAATAATCAATCGCTGGGTCAGCCTCCTGGAGGTGCCAAGTAAGATAACAGGTAGAAAAAATTACTTCATGAACTTCTACAACTTGAACTTCACTGTGTTTTCTGCGCCCCGAGTCTCTATGAGAAGGTTTCTGAGAAAAAAAAACACAACTAAACCAAGGATCCGAACCCAAGCCCTATCGTTAGTGAAGGTTCCCAATTGGGGTTGAAGATAGAAGGATTATGCTGCTAGAATAGTAGTGAAGCCTACCATTCTTACCCTATTCCCTTAGTAACTTCTTCCAGAGAATCTTTTCACAAATCATGAAATTCGATTTGAGCCTCAGTATCTGCGCGTACAGCGGTATGCACCTCACTGCAAATGTCCACTGTTGACCCTCCCTCGTCAGCAGTTTCGTATCGCGTCTTTAGACATCCAAAAGCTCAGAGAGAATCACACACTACAATTTCTCTCATTGAAGCGTGTCACGCCTTTTCAACCCCGAACTTCAGGCAGTATTCCGCGCAACAAAGTAGGGGTGCGCTCTCGATGGCCGCGGTACAGGACAAGCGAAATGAGCACATTCTGCGTGAGCGAATCCTCAAAGAAGCGTGTTACTATTTCACTGACTCCGAATGGCACGATTGGTTTTAAACCGGTGTTCATACTTTATGAGCCCTGTACATGGTGAAGAGGTTACTTGTGAATATTTATTTAGAACTCTCTGTTCCATATATAGGAGTGGAATCATATGCGGTCTTGATGTTTCGGAGATAATTTTGTTAAAGTTTAATATAATGCTCTGAAAAAACAACGAGTGAGGAAACACAGTAGGAGAATAGTGCCGTTTTTTTAGAGACTGGAAACACCAGTTTTTTGAGGCTGGAATCACTGCAGATACATACTAGTCTTTTTCTCAGAACAGACCAAGAACCGGGAATCACCACAATTTGAACTTCTAAGTAGCTTTCAGACTTCAGTGTGTCTCTTGTAGTGTGGGTGAAAAGTTGTAAGTTGAGAAGTTGTGCGGCGACAACTCCACCCAAAATTTGAATAATGAATTTAAAGGGTATAGTTTCATAGGGCTGTAAACGAGGTAGGTCTGAACCCCAGCAGCAAGAAGCGACTCATGTACTTAAGAGCTCTACTAATGAAGCCCTTGCCATCAGGCTCGAGGTCGCCAGACATGCGACCCGATTTTTGGGAGAAAGCGACTCGGTGAGTCGAGGGTGACAAAGCTTCCAAAATGTGCTTGAACGGTTGGGAAATACCTTTGCTTTTCTGTGACCTCCATAAGAAATCGTGTATTAACGTTGCCGCCCATCGAAAAGCCGACAGTAATAAATTGTGAAAGTGGGTAGTCGAGGAATAATTGGTTCATAACCGCATGCAACTCGTCAGTGCTGCCTGAAACAAACTCCAATCAGATGTCACAGTATTCATGCGGCTTCCATACTATTAGGTTGGCGGGAAAGTTTTGTCACATTTTTTAAACCTATCATATCAGTCCTCAGATCGATAGCGTCCAATCGATAATAGCAGCAGTAATAGCCAAGGTAAGGCTGATCCTAATAGTAGTGCCCGTTTCACTTTTCACTCCCCTTCTACAGAATGGAGCACGAATTCGTACCAGACCGTGAGCACCTGCGCCACATCATCCTTTTTTCTTCCACTCCGGATCGAACGCGACAGCTACCGAAGCCAAAATAAGGGATGTGTATAAGGAGCATGCCCCCAGTTATCGGACGATCTTGCGGTGGTACCAGCGCTTCACGACCGGGGACTACAGCCTTGAAGACGAAGACAGGTCAGGACGCCCATCAGAACTGGACATGAGGCAGCTACGGCGCGTACTGAAATCGGACCCCTTCCAATCCACAAGGGATATGGCGAGCACTCTTGACACTCACCATTCCACTGTGGAAGCTGGATTGCAGAAGCTGGGAATAACTAAAAAACTGGGCCGTTTTGTGCCACACCGCCTCAAGCCTGCCGACCTTGATCGCCGGGTGGATGCTTGTTTGACCCTGCTGACTATGCATAAAGGGTACAAGTGGCTGGACCATCTCATCACTGGGGATGAGAAGTGGATCTATTACGACAACTTCCACAGGAAAGCGCAGTGGGTTCGACCTGGAGAAGAGCCCAAGGAGACCCCGAAGGAGATGCACCCGAAGAAGGTTTTGTTGTCCGTATGGTGGGGTGTACGGGGTCCCGTTCATTGGCAACTACTGGATGAGGGGGTCGCCATCACGGCTGACCTCTACACGCAGCAGCTGAGAGATTTGAAGAAAATCGTGGATTTACGGGAGGGATCTCTCCGAAAAGTCTACTTCCAGCATGACAACGCCAGACCGCACACAGCACGAAGTGTCAAATCGGAGCTGGTGCAATATGGCTGGACAGTTCTGCCTCATCCCCCGTACAGCCCAGACCTCGCTCCTTCCGATTACTGGTTATTCTCCGACCTAACCCGTTACCTGGATGGGAAGAAGTTCAAAACCCGTGCCCAGGTCGAAGTTGAGCTAGCATCGTATTTTGCCTCGCGTGAGGCTCAGTTCTGGAGGGATGGTATCCATAAGCTACCTGGACGTTGGCAAGAAGTAGTCGAACGCAACGGTGATTACATTTGATCTAATATGTCTCTATAGAGTAATAAATATTCTTTTGAAAAAATGTGACAAAACTTTCCCGCCAACCTAATAATTACTCACTTAATTGGAAAGTTCGCTCACCGTAAGAGAAAATTCTGTTACTTGTCAATTTCACGTTTTGGAGATCGCCCAGGTGATTCAGAAGTACGCATCTATAGCTAAATAGAATGCCTCTTAAACTTACATCATATGTCAGCCGGCAGCATTAATGCAATATTTGAAGATTTGTTGAATGTCAAGTTACTTTCTATTTAGGGGTCTGCCTCTTATTTCGTTGCTATCTAAAATATTTTATTTTGACGCCTCTCAATGATTCACACGGGTTACTGATCGTAATGACGGATTAATGAACTGGAATAAATGGGAACATGCCTCTGTCATTTCGTCCAAAGCAGAGGAAGAAAAAAAGGAAGAGAAAGGGGAGGGGTGAGAGGAAGAAAAATTTTTTCTTCTTAGCCACCATCGTGCCTAATTTCACGGCAATCTGTTTTGTGCCCCCACAGCAGGCGCTTCTCGCACCTCAGGTGGTCGTATAATCGACGGTGATAATACTTCAACGAGAACCACTTACCTCAGGCGAGCATCTTATCGAAGGAGGACAAATCAGCCGTTCTTGAGTCAATAATACGCTTGGCAGAACGGTATTCCGCTCCTCTGAGCAGGCGCTGCGTAGCGCCTTTTCCCCATAAAGATACCCTTATAAGGTCCTATCAAGCTGCAACATACCGACCCGAACGCCCACCGTGTCCGGCCCCAAATAGGACGACCGTAACTGATGCTCACATTGCTTTATTTGCTAACCATTAGGAAAAATGTATAGCGATGGAAAAATGGAGCGGCCGCGGTGCTGCAGGCTTATATGAGTGCATACGTGGAGCCTACCTACCGTAACGGTTATTGGCCCGATGCCAACGGAAAATTCGTCGAAACTGCTTTCTGAACCATGAATAACGACGGCTTTTCTTCGCAGCTTCTTGACCGTTTTACTTCGTTTTTCACCGTTTTCCCACTACATAATACCCTGTTAAGACTTTGAACCGCGTTCCAAGTTAGTGCCATATGCCTTTCAGTGTAGTTCTGAATTAGCTTGCTCAGTTAAGTTCCCGGATGAAGCAATACCTGGCCTACGTTTACCCCCGTCTACATCACCGAACACCATGCGAAAGCTTTGCTCTCGTAAGCCCATCTTGCGTTCAAACCCATTTGTCCCAGTTGCAGCCTCTCTGAATTCTCTAAGTAGTGCACCTTACCATTCCCGGCAATCTACCTTCTACAACATCTCTTCGTCTCGCTTCCTGATGACGAAGGACAAATTCCAATTGAACGCCAGTCATCGGTGGTGAACTTGATGATAATGCCGTGTGCTCACTTCCTCGGACGTAGGGCAAGACTTTGAACGTAACTAGGAATTCGATTTCAAGGGTGGTTTGACCCGAATATGGCAGTCGCTGGGCGCAAAAATGTGGGAGTGCCAAAAGCCCTGACGTGCCCAAGTTTCTTACTAGGCATCCGCGAACACAGATGTAACAGTGATGGTAAAACTTACTGGACGTTCCTGAAAAAGGAAAGCTCCTAGCGCAGCGAGGAATTGATCACTCAACTTCTGTATCTTAACCTAGCTTCCACTGAACTATGCCACCACGGCTGTGGCCTCTTGTACCCCACTGTAGAGGCACTTTCACTCTACGAAATATATTAAAAGGCCAGGGGGGACTGAAAGAGACTTTGCCCGTGGCACATATCAGTAAAGAGTACGCAGCCCAGGGAGAAGACGTGGATACGAATACCAGAGCGGAAGATACCCAAGATGTTCCTCGATAAGCAGAAGCAGGCCCTCTTTCATAACCTTCATGTACACCAAAATATGAAGCCATTTGTAATTCAGCAGCCAAACTGAGAAGACCTATGGAATTCACGCCACTCCAAACAGTTGCAAAACTTCTTGTATCGAGTCACCCATGGACAGCTACCTGGAACCGGCACTCTTGATCTGGAAGACCTCCAACATCGAGCAGCTCCGACAACGTCGCTACGGTCCAGGACATCATCTTCACCGCAGTCGCCAAGGCGCGGGTTGATGGTATGGACCGGAAGTTCCTGGAATGGGAAGACCGATATTTTCTTCGTGGACCCCGGACTGAAAGTGAACGCTGACTGTTACATCGACAGCTCGAGGAGAATATCCTGCCTTCACGTCGTCGCCTGTACCGTCTTTGAAACTTCGTACTGCAGGATTGGGTGCAAGCAGGTGGAACTGAAAAAAAATCTTGCCTACATGGAATCGAAGGGCGTTGAACACCTGAAGAAGACAGAGTATCCGAAGTGTGTCAGACCTGAACCCCCTCAATTATCGGGTTCCGGAGGAACTTAGAAGGGTGGTCTACAGTGGCGGAGAAATCAACGACCTCGAATCACGGTCGCGTGGCAGAATCTCTTGATGGCGTTCATCCAGAAGGCTGTGGCGGAGTTTCGTGATCGTGTGAAATGCGTTGTTGAATTTGATGGTGAAATGTCCAATCAGAATTCAATAAAGTGTAACTTATTTCGCTTCAGAAGTCGTGCAAAAATGTGTCTTTCGTTTGCCCCTCCCCTGTAGATCAAACAAATTTAGTGAACCAGTTATATCTCGAAGTCGTAGATGAAAAAGGAGAAAAATAAATATGTTACACAAAGGAAAAATTCTTGTAATCGCAGACAGCCATTCGTAAATGTCAACAATCATACCCTTGATCTTGAACGTAATACAAGCAGCTTCGAATGTAGTTGCTCTTGCAGCTCGGGGGAAATCCCGGAATCAGTACCAAAATGACGTCGAGGTTACTCTAGAATCAACTCTAGAAAGGTATGCAATCAGCAGTTCGGAATTAATTTTCTTGTGAATGGAATGAGAACCTTATACATTTTGAGTGGCTCAAACACGTCAACGATTACGGTCGTGCCGTCGGCGAGCTGGACAGCCACCCGTCGATCGTAAGCTCTTTGATGTGATGGGTGGATAAGCAGATCTGACGCGACCGTTTGCGCATGACCTGATCGACCCCATAGACGGGGTGGACGATACCTGAAAGTAAAGCTCGTAAAACAAGTAATCCATGAATTCATGACTGCAAACGTTTTCTGTTTCCTTTCGTGACTACTTTTTGAAATTTGTATCAACTCTTCATACGAGTACAGTTACGAAGTACCAGTTTAGCACCTACGTGGGGGCTGAATTGTTTATTTTTTTGTAGCACGAACGTTTTTGAGGATTCCAGTGTCTGTGGCCGATATTCGATGAAAGCAGTTACGATTTGTGCAGCCGGTCAATACCCTTTCAGATTGCGCAAGAATTACTTCGTTGCAGAAACTTACAGCGGCGAAACCGCAGAATAGGGCTGTCGGATGACTATTGAGAACCTTTGAAACAGGAATGATCTCTTTTCTCCACAACCAGACGATTGTGGGCACCAACTGCACACTTTGATCTGGGTGGTTCAGGTTCAGAAGGCTAATTTCGACTTGCGCTTGGGCCTCTCTGAACTTTTGAAGCTTGGCTAAATTTTAACCACAGTGCAGAACGTGTGCTCGTTGCTACTTTGAATTGACTCGAAACCAAAAAGAACAGTGTCTCAAAAGTACGGTGAAAAATTCCGGATCATTAACTGGATTGCCTAGTGATCGTTATTCTCCGTCGTGATTGTAGTTGTTCTTTAAACGGGTGAGACCTGCTCGCTGAAGTTGGAGTACAAGTAAACCTCTATTAAGATATGAGCGAATGTAAGGGAACATTGATGTTTCTGAGTGCAGATTCTACAATTGGAAAGGAGTGAACATGGGAAATAATAACTGCGGTGTATTATGCAACTTTGAGAGGGCTCACCTATGACCATGAGTTCAGCGGTGGCCACTCCTGAATGGGCCATTCAGTGTAACTCCAAAAGGACTGATTACAGTGATCACAAATTATGCTTGCTCGGTAAGGCAGCCCTTAATTAACTGATTCATCTGGTTGAAAGTAGAAGCAATTAGATTTGGTGAATGTAAAAGCAAGGGATCTCAACGAGCGTCATGACTTAAAAATTTCTTCCCAAGAGCTAGTGGTGCTTAACGCTAGATTGCCCTTCGCGGTCGGGTATTTGATTGTACTTTGACCTCACTGCTTCTAGAGACATTTTTCCGATAAGGCGGCTCCTCACTCTTTCTAGCATTTTTTGGTACTTTTTTTCTGTGTTGGTGGAAAGCACAGCTTCATAATATGATTTTGAAGCCGTGCACATCTTATCAATCATCATCATCATCATCATCATCAACGCGCGAAAAACAGTCATTAGGAAATGACCTGAACATTGCTTGGTACAGTGAATGTAATTCAGTCAGTTTCTGCTGACATCTTTAGGGAAATGGGTGCGAAAGTAAGATAGAGCAGTGAAAAGCACTACTAATTTACAAACAGCTCTCATTTCTTCCAACGAACAGGCTCACACCGCTCGCTTCCAGCCGTCCGAGGTAATAGCAAAGATTATGATTTGAAACTTCACGGTTTTTTCAGCATGTCGATTCCTTATCTATGAGGTTTAATAGCTGAATTGGTTGTTTCCGATTGCTCAGAAGCTTATCTCGGGTACTGCAAGCCGAGGTAAATATGCTGGAAGAAACCGAAATGACGATGCTAGCTGTAAAAGAGTCTCCATTTGATCTCACTCTGAATAGCAAAAGGCTCTCTTAAGCCTTATTATATTAGCATGTGTTGGTCTAGGTGATTATTATATCCCGAAGTGCTTCTTCAAAAGATATGCATGTCAGCGGCAAGCAAAACCGATCGTCGCTATTGGAAAGTGCCTAATATGACAGTTTTCAGCGTCCCTGGCTGATGTAACCACTCACCACTCTGTAGTAATGCGCAAATGACCACAGCGAACTGTTATCTTTTATGAGCACTGGAGGAACTTTGGCGTACCGCTGGTTATCAACAACAACCTTCCTCTCAAGTTGGTGGGATTCGCAGCAGATGCTCTAATGGGAGTCGCTGAGGTTTCCTTACGTATGCAGCTGGCGCATAAAAAAAATAAAAGGGAACCTCAGGTCCTCGCAGTGACCCTTCAAGGTAAAAACAAAAGATCCGAAAATACCCTCCTTCATCATAACAAAGTCCAATCCCACGTTTTTCCGCGATTTGCCAGCAGAAACCGGAAGAGGAATGGACTACGGCGCTAGAGCGGTGCTTTCTTCGATTCCCTTTTTACGAACCCTTCGTAACAAGCTATGAATCTGTAGTAGCATTTTCGAAAACGGTCGAAATTTCAGTGGCTTAGTCGCAGCACATTAAAGCATCTCGACCCTCACATACGTAGCTTGCATTAACACGATGTTTTCTTCTCAAAACTTCAACCTGTTGCATCGAGGGATGGTAAAACGCGCATGAAACCCCGCGTTTTTAAGGCTTTTCTGACGACCAGTTTTCCGCCAAATCGTGCCTTATAACATATTTCGACTATTTCGACTACTACTTGGACTCGTGTTTTTTACTCTCTATCGTTCCACCTCTTCTGTTTGTTCAATAATATCGCTGAGGAGCCTCACGCGCGAAGAGATCACGAGGTGGAATATTTGGATAACATACCCCCCCCCCCCCCCCCCCCCCCCCCCCCCCCCCCCCCCCCCCCCCCCCCCCCCCCCCCCCCCCCCCCCCCCCCCCCCCCCCCCCCCCCCCCCCGTCTTTATTATGCTTCTATTTCATTGAATCCTTTCTTCCTTTCTTTACCCTAACACCGACATCTTGGTGACTCAGCTTTTTGTTCACCAACGCTTCACAATAATTCTGAAACCTACCACTACAATCACATGCTATCGTAGCGAAGCTTATAAGTATCCACAGCCACATCTGGAACATATCATTGTAAAAACGATTCATTGTGACGCAAGACGAAGGCTCGGAGAATAAACACAGATGGGGGACTAGCCTTATTTGCTCAATGACGGTACATCTCAATATGAACGAGTAACACAATTATTACACATGTTGACATATTGGGATCGTCGTACAAGCACCGCTTACTAGTTTGTCTTCAGTTTAGACAGTTTAGGAGAAATTTTTGGAATAAATGGAGCGATGTTCAAAAACTAGAAAAAAAAGAAAATGAAATGAGTACGATTGGCCGGTGGCTGTCCGACTTTTAGTTCCACCATGGTTTGATGCTTCGCAATAACAGAAGTAAACACGGCACGCGACAAGAAATCGTTCGAAATGGTATACCTCAAAGGACATTTGCAGGTGCCGGATGGGCTTCAGGTGCACGAGTTGCCCTGTGTGTGCTGTGCCCTGTTAGTGTGCTTGCTTACTATGCTACTTCCTTATTTTTTTAAAACCGTGTCGTGCATGGGGGGAATCTCACCGACGAACGCTATTTGGCGCTGAGGGGGAGTCTCTTTGGTCTAAAGGAAAAAACTTATCTTTTAGAAATGGTCGTTTTAGTGATCGAGTCCTTCGCTGTCTCCATACAATCTAGACATTATTTTTTCCACTATTCTTCGTTTCTTGTGGGTACTATAGCCAGCCAGGTTCGGCGAATAACCCGTGAAATTTCTCGCCATTTCTTTTGCGTAATTTGTCCTTAGCTATCCAGCTTCTGTTGCTAGATTCAGAAAATTAGTGATAAAAAGAAGAAGCTTTCCTCATACTAGCTTTGCTTGCTGGTTGTTTCGTCCTTTGATTTAAACCGTGCGGAGTCATTTACTTGATCATGTTTATACCACTAAGAGAGACTATTAGGTTGTTCGGAAAGAAATGCGCGTTTGAGTTAAAAATTTTTTATAAAAACGAAATTAAACAAGATTAATTCAAAAGATAATCTCCATTACTATCCATTACTACTACATAGACAAAAATATATCAAAAGATGCACAATAAAAATCTCTTTCTAATAGACAAAACTTTAAAAAATCTTCTATAGTAGGAGAGAAATAAATGGACAAATTCAACGCGCATTTATTTCCGAACAACCTAATATATTCATTTTTGGTGCAGCGCAGTGACCGGAACGACATTGCTGGAAGGAACTTAGCCTCCCTATCGAGAAGGAGAAACCTCTCAGACCTTGATCTCCTTTGAAAGAGGATAACCATCGAGGTTCGAGACCATGAGACCATGTTTCCTACTACTGCTTTGTACTCCTTTCTAGAGGATGCTTTTGATGAGAGACATCCAACAGCAGCGCAAAATCGTGCCCTTGCACTTCCCCACGCCATTGGATGCAGTTGACTAAAGAATAGTTTAATACCGAATATCTCAAAGCGGGCCTATGGGCTTTCGAGTATTTAGCGAAAACTCCTAGAAGTAGAACACGTTGAATTCAATCGCTCATGCATAACGGGCGACCCGTACCAATCGAATATAAGGCGCTACGAAGGGAAGCGGAAAGGTAACGTCAAAGGGGTCGATCTCACAGGGGATGCTTTCAAATATCCATAGAACTTTGAGTTGACACCTAGATACATTAATAGAGCCTCGAATGCTGGTTAGGAATATGTAGATAGAGTGCTACCTGAATAAGAGTGCTCACAGACGAGTTTTGGGTAGTTAAAGTTTGAGAAAATTCTGTTTTGGCTCGTAAATGCTCCTGATCCATCGTCGCCCAGTTCCACCGTGGCCTAGTGGTAACGGTTCCACTTCGAATGTACTACCTGCGGGGTTTGCTCTCCGTCAGTGCAGCATCCTTGACCCTAATAACAGCTTTCACACTAATTTTGAAATTTCTACGAATTAACGACCCAGCAGAGTGACTAGACTAAGTATATGACTTGAGAGATTAAATATAGAATTGGTCGCTGTATAAACCTTGCGACGCTTAAACCTCTCTGACAATTCGATTCGGTCCAGAATTTCAATTTGACCAGAAACTTGTCCCTGGGGCAGTTTGACCCCCTCAATGTGAATATCAGGTCCGGTTCATAGAAAACGTGTGTAAGGTGTGTCACAACCAGGCGCTGGCGCCAAACCATCATGAAACACCGCATCCACTGAATTG